ACTTTTTGGTATGTTACTATAAATAAAAAAATCACAAATAATTATAATAATATAGTGCTTAATTTTAAAGAATTATTGTTAAGGGTGATGCTGAAATTGGCTAACGCTGGTAGTTGGGCTATTTTCATATGAAGTTGTTAGATCTAATTGTTTAATCTTCTTCATTATAATTATATCATGGTTGAAGCTAAAAATTAGAACCTCGATTTAAAAATATGAATCTACACTTATACTCTTTGTTTATCATTTAAAGTTTCTAGCTTCAGCTGTGACAATTAAGGTTAGAGCAGTTATATGTAATCTAGTGGTATTATACTTTTAATTAAAGGCTCACATTTTAGCAAAAATGATTTGCATGTTTCAAAAAGCTGAAAATTTTGTTTATTAGCTTTGCTTATGAATTTGACTATAAGTATAATGTTATATCCCTTCGGCAAGGAAAATATCTTTCCAAATGGGAAAAAAATTGGCATCATTGGAAACTATATGTAGAAGAACCTCTCGCTAATGTGAAATAAAAATCATAGATATTCAAGAAGGCAAACATTTATTTTTAAAGTTTTAGGAGACACAGGGCTTTTTACTATATTATCTCACAAATAGGTTTTTGCCTTAAAAATCGTGATATAGAACATATGATTTACTATGTTCCATAATATGATTTTCAAGACAAAAACCCTAAATATTTTGAAATAATGAAAATTAACTTTTAAAGAATAATATTATAGATTAAATCAAAAAAAAAAACATTATAATCAATATTACAGATTAATTCAAAAAAAAATATTGTAATCAATATTACAGATTAATTCAAAAAAAAGTCATTATAATCAATATTACAGATTAATTCAAGAAGAAAATCATTATAGTCAATATTACAAATTAATCTAAAAGAAAAATTCCATTATAATCAATATTACAGATTAATTCAAAAAAAAAATTCTATTATAATCAATATTACAAATTTTATTTTCATAATTTGGCTCTTCCACCACATCAGTATTACATATTTAAAAACTAATACAACCATTAATTTGGATATACTGTAAACCTTTTTTTTAAACGAAAATAATTTTAGAAAGATGAGAACTGAATTAGCAAAAAAATTCTACGGATTACGGTTATCTAACCTTTTGATCTTTTTATGCGGTTCAGATCTAACTGCATAATGAAATTTAAATATTCATAAATACTTGCATAAAAATTTTATATTTTAAATAGTAACGACTAAAGGTGTTCTCCTTTTTAATTGGATTTTTGATACTTTATAGGAGATACAATTGTTATTGCATAAGAGTTTTGAAGTATTCTAGTATATAATGAGTCACATATAGCAGTAGATAATTTATGTATTTTAATGATTTTAAGAATTTTATCTACAACTCCATCCTAATGAAAAATAAGTTAAAATAAAAATCAATTTGTTATAAGGTCAATAAGTGTTTTATTTTATAAATTACCCTTAGGAATGCCTAAAGCTTTTCGACCAAGTTATGAATATGGTCTTGAAAATCTTTACTTTTTCTATATGGAACTGCTAGAGAACACCACAAGCTTATAACATATACCTGGAGAAAAGGTTTATTTAAAACATATATATTCAAAGTGGTTTCTAATCAATATAAACGATTGTGAATTTATGAATTTAAACTTTATAAGTTTGTGAATAATTTCCTACCATGAGAGTGCACTCCAAAAACTTGCATGGTTTGAATAATGTCATATATTTCTTTATTAATCTTCAAATTGCAAAGTTTAGAAATTTTTGAAATACGAAGATCAAGAATGTCTTTGATGCATCAGAAAAGCTTGCATTTATCCTTATAACACTTGTCAAGAAGGGGCTCAAAAGGTTTTCCAGAGAATTCACCTACAATTACTTCACATTTCTCTTTCTTCAAATAATCTTGCCACATCACATCAAAATCAACCTTGTGGTCTTGCCTTTCCTGCATTTAATTAAATTTATTAATTAATAATCATGTTCTATAATTAAATTAAATTTGATTATTACTTACATCACTTTTTTTAATAGTGTTTATACGTGCTTTGGAAGCATCAGAGTAATGTTCAGCCCTAAAATAATTCTTTAAAATTAAGCACTATATTATTATAAT